TGGGAAATAAAGTGCAAATAGGTGGTGTGAGGGAAGGGTTAGATCAAAGTAGGCCTCTGGACCCTTGGAGAGCCACTGACTTCAGCAACGTTTATAGGTATGACAGGTTTTTTCCTCTTGGTTTTGCCTGGTACTGGCTTTCCTGACCTTTTCGGAGTTCCAATTTGTGACCTGTCTTCCCCAGCTCCAACTCAGTTCTATCTGGCATGTCGCCCTCCTCTCTCCCCTTGCTCCCCTGCTAAATGTGCTTCATCCCCTTGTTATCTGCAACAGGAGGAGGTGATAAGGAGAAAAAAACCCAAATCCTTAATTCAAAAACTTAAACCAGCTCCTTTTATCTGTTGTATGCTTGCAGATCAGCCAAAGCTTTAATTAATGCCGATTTGGAGTTTCTCATGCCTTGTGGGGTGGCAGTGTTGTATAGCTGTGTCAGGAGGAAAAAGAGGGGTTTTGCTGGCTTAGCCAATGGTGTTTGGGAAGGGCAAATGGAGAGTTTTTGCCCGTGTTACTCTACCAGCATGGCTTTGTTACACCCACAGTTGAACACACAAACTCTGCGTGGAGAGACTACATCCGTACTGATGGTGCAAAGTACCACCTCCTCTGTGCTGCTGCGTGACAGAGGTGGGCACAGGAAGGTAGTAGTAACTTGGGGCTCAGTTTTTCAGTCTTGTAACAGCCACTCCTGTCTCATTTCCCAAGGGTCGGTGTTAACTTACTGCAAACTGTCCTGTAGAAAGCCGTGTGATCCTGAAAAGAATTAACCCAGAACCCAAGTTAATCTGTTTGTTGGGGGTGGGGAGGTGTGTACTTGTTTGGCTTTGGTTTTGTTTTTTTTCCTCCAGGGAAAAAAAACCTTTCTGTTCTAGTCTCTGACTTGGGAGCAAGCTCCTTATTGAATGGAAATAAATTTGCCCAAAGCAATGATGAGCGAAGTATACTCTGAACTGGTATTGCTGAGACTTTGTGTCTTTGCTCTGACCAGGGCATGATCACGTAATCTTCTCTCTGAGCTTATTTAGGCTAAGCTCATCTAGAGTAAACACTTTTGCTTCTTGAAACTTTTTGATGCACCCTAAAAAATATTGAGAAAATATTAAGAATTTTTAGCAGTTTCTTTTACTGGCAGAGAAACAAAACCTTAATTTGAAAAGCAGGTAGTGCAAATACTTGTTTGGATTTGCGTATCTTGCTGCAACGCTGGGTTTAGCACTGAGCTTGCAGTGAGAGGCGTTTCTTCTTTCTTCTCCTATGTGTGACATGGCTTACGAAACTCCAGTTACTCTGCCACTGTTCTTCTCCATTTGGAAATGCAATGCAGACTCTAAAATGGAGTTTGAGCTGCCTGTGCTGTAGGCACCTCGTTAGCAGTTTGTTCAGCTGTGTTCTCATCTGGCGATTGCCAGTACGGAAGCAGAAGTATTTTTGGAAGTGAGTTGTGGTGTTGGGCCTGGCTCTGGTGCTCTGCAGCCTTCTTGGGGTTGGGTGGGAAAGGCTGGGCTAATCAAGCAAGATATGGAGCTATTCTCTAATCTAGTTTTTATTCTCTTCCAGGTCCTGGTGACAGCGTTACATGCATTTCTGTCTTCCTGTGGAGAAGAAAGCTTCTATGGGGAATATGTACCTAGGATTATAGTTATGGTGGTTTTCTCTTGACAAGAAGCCATGTGGTTTCTGTTAAGGAAGTAGGGAAAACAACTCAGTTCCTAATGCACTAATTTTTAAAGAGTGTTTAGATGAGTTGTGAACAGGGCTTAGGTTCACTGAACATTTTTTAAAATACTTGCAAAGTCAAGTTCTGACAGTAATGTATTGGGCAACTGCAATGCTGCTGTTAATGTTGATGTAATTGTATTAAGCCACAGAAAAAAGCATCCTGAATGCAGATATGATACATGACTGCATAGAAATCGCAAATTAGTATGTAAGTCCAAAGTTTGGTTTAATAAAATCTGTGTTCCCTGAAAAATCTTTTTCCATCTATCTTTAGAGCATCATGGCTTTAATAACACTACTACGGTTAAAAAGCAGATAAACAGGAATGTTTGTATGACCCAAATCAGTTTTGTAACTGTGTTTTAGAGCAGTAAACTCAATAAACAGGTATGTATTTGGCTACTAAGGCCAGGAGGGTTAGAAGAAGCAGTCAAATCCAAGTTGGTATTGCGCAGCCATCTGCAGAAATACTAATAAAATGTGCCAGGTAACTGCTGAAC